AGGCGTAAACCAGAGGTGACGGACTCGATACGATCGATTTCGTCTTCTTTCGTGTGGGGCTTAACCCTTGTTTGGCGTTTACCGTGTGTTTTGCAAGTACTCGTCGACTTGTGGTGTTAATTCCACCGATCGAAATAGCAATCCTGTCATGGGTTTTGTAAACGTGGAGTGCCGCAGTGTCGCGCGAAAGACTTTATAAATGAATAGTCCGCGCGCGTTTATAGTGTACTTTTCGCGAGTGTTTTACGCGAGTGTCCTGTGCGAGAGGATGTCAACCCGATTCTGAGAGGAGGAAGAGGTCTAGGAGAGGCATCGGGCACCGGCGGAGCAACCTTGCGGTAAATATCATTTTTTATTTATGTAAAATCAGTTTAAAATCAATCTTTCTTCTATTTATTCTGGAGTCATTTTATTTTACAATGATTTAAAAATGATAATTAGATTATATTAGAAAAAGGATTATTTTGAAATTATTTTGAAATTTCATATATACGAATTTTTAAGAAAAAAGAATTTTTGTTTTAAAAAACATATAATTATTATATTTTATAAACATCTAACTTAATGATGAATTAAAAAATTCGATGCTTATAAAAATTATACATTTTGAAAATTATATGATTATTTTAAGAGAACTTTGCGTTTTTTTTTAAATATTGTTTGTGTTCTTTATAGCTTGTATTCTTTATAATTTATATTTTATATTTTTATGTTACAGAATCATCGTAGCGACGTTGCAGACTTAACTCCGCTGTTGCGCGTCGGGTCGGTGAGTGACGAATTAATATTTTTATTGAGGTAACGGATGTGTGATAATTTTATTAATGTATTATATATCTATAAATGCATATATGCATTAATTTAACGAAAATATACGGATAAATATATGTATAACATACCATACATCCGTTGTCTTAAAATGGATAAGTTAGAACAGATTAGGATAAACTTAATCCTGGATACCTTCTTATTATGAATTTATTTGAATATATTGTACATGCACTGTTTTTATAATGTCACGTTACATACACCGAGTTTGAGTTATTTCTAAACTGAAAGAAAAGATTGGCTGCTGCAGCAAATTAGATGGTAAAATATGGCACAGCATTTTTAATTGGCTACAACAGCCAATTTTTGGTTGCTGCAATCAATTTTTGGTTGTGCCTATCCGCAATGTCAGTATAGAATTTGATTGGTTAATGCAATCAAAAATTGGCTGCTGCCGATTAAGAATGCTGTGCTATATTTTACCATTTAATTTACTGCAGCTACCATTCTTTTCTTTCAGTGTAATTATTCCTATATGTCGCCTATATACTGCTCTTACACAACATCTCGTTAATTTAATTATAAAAATAAAGTAAAACTATTTATCTCAAGAAGATTATTTCATTTAACTCAAATTTTATTTTAATATATTAATTATATATAAAATTATACATATATACAATTATAATATATACAATTATATACAATTATATATAAAATATGTTCATTTATATAATAAAATGAAAAGTAATAAAAGTTCACATGAGACTAATGTCCATTTATATACAATTATATAAAATTATACATATTTTTATATAATTTTATATAATTATATATAAAATACTCTTTCCTGGGAATACATCTTGACATACTTGGAAATAAAAATAAAAAAGAATAAAATATTCGTTTTTAAAATATATGAAATACATAAAATAAAAAAATATAAAGTTTATATAAAATAATAGAATGAAATTGTTATCTATAAATGTTATAACATGGAAAAGCGTTTGTTACAAGTGTAACAAACAAATATTATTTTATTAATTTTCCTATCTATTTTCCTATTCCCATATATTCATTCAGGATTAAGTTTTATATAAGTTGGTGCAGAAAAGCAGTATCTACATACACATATATGTATAATGTGTACTGTTTTTTAAAAAATTCCTTTTATTACTATTTTACATTTATTTGTATATATATGCATGTTACTGATGAAATAACAATGAAAATTTTTATGTAACGCATATAATTAATTTATTGATCTCGCTTTTTTTTAAAAAACATTTTATGGTTACTAATTATTATTGTTTATCTCAGTGCACTAACTTTAGCCTGATCTTTTATGATTTACCCATATGTAGTAACTGGACTTTATACCAGTTAAAGTAGTAACATGATGTAAGATCCATAATATACATTTTACCAAGAAATAGAAGAATTTTATCTCATAATTATTTTAAAATCGCGTTCAGAGTTTTGCATAACTTAAAATACTTAATATTAAAATAATAAATTATACAAAAATGATTCTAATAATTTACAAAATACAAAGAGATATATTTATTGATACAAGGGAAAATTATTCCTTTTGAATCTTACATCATTCATCTGAATTCCTTATCTCCGCATGCTTTGAGATGAGATTCAGCAACGAATCGTTCGAATCGTTAAAAATACGTACATGGGCCTTGAATTTTATCGGATAATAATCGATTTAATCATTTTCAATTTATTTTTAAATTAAAGTTTTGCTCTTTATATTGTAATGTTTATATTAAAAAATTTAATAAGTTTTATGATATTCGAAACTTTTGAAATCAAAACGTTGATGACTTGAAGATTTTTTTTATTTAGATTTATTTTTAATATTTATATTTTTCGAATAAACGCGAATAGAGAATAAACACAACATTTATTCGTAATATTAATAGAATTATTATTATTACTATTATCATTATTATTATTATTATTATTGATAATTATTTATATTAATATCTATAAGTCAATTTTATTAATATTATGGCCTCTTCGCGACGCGTTCGTGTTTCGCGCATCGTACAAAAGCGTAAAATCTTACGCTTGTTGCCGACGATGTTAGTTGGCAGCACTCGGCAGCAAAAAGGAGTATTTCTCCTTGTTGTCGATTTCTGGCATATGAAGCCAGAATGTTGGCCAGGAACAACAAAAGGTGAGTTCAATCTGGCCTGAAGAAAGAAGAGTATTTAAAGTTCAATCTGGCCTGAAGAAAGAAGAGTATCTAAGAGTATATGAAGTAGGTTGGTGTGTAACACCAATTTAAGTTTTTAAAAGAAACATTTACACTGAGAAAAAAATTTGTTTAACGAACTAAACACATTTAGTTGTTTGCAGATTTGATTATTTTATCAAATTTTATTTAATCGAATTTAACTGTAGCCTGCTTAATGAACTGTTCAATATTAAGCAAACTACGGTTAAATTCAATTAAATAAAATTTGTTGAATTAACCAAATTTGCAAATAACTACATGTGTGTAGTTAATTGAATAAGTTTTTTTTCTTAGTGTTTGTAGATTTTTTTTAATCTACAAAACTTACGTTTGATTATCTCTGTTGGCTCTCATTAGTCCTGTTATTTGTTAATTTTTTTTTTGTATTTTAAAGATTGAAAGCCTGTTTTAATAATTACTGTCTATTACTTATTTATTATTATTATGATCGCGATTAGGTTGTCCCGCTGAATTTATCAGCATGCGATAAAAGATAAGCGTTAGCTGCATTCAGTAGAGAAAGCAACTTTGCAACTGTTGTAAAATTCTTCAATATGATATATTGGTTTATACATTTAAATCCATAAAAAAACCAAAACCAATTGTATTAAAGAATTTTTTACAATTGAAAAGCTACTTTCTTTGATGAATACAGTAACGTATTACATATATATTTTCGCGGTGTTATTACATACTTATGAAGTAGGTAATATAGGTAGGAATACGGATAAAGATAGATATACCCGAATAGCCACAAAAAAATAAAAATGCGGGTAGGTAGGACAATAAGATGGATAGGTAGGGAATGTATAGGTAGGACGATAAGTATATGAACAGGTAGGAATAAACACATTACATGTATACATACTTGATAATTGGAAAGGAGGAATTAAATATTGAATAAAACTTTAAATTGATTTTAAGTTTTATTTAATTAGACTGGGGTTAAAAGTAACACGGTAACAAAAAATTGTAACACTTATATAAAAAAACGTGTAGGACTATGCAAGTGTAAGGAAGAGATAGAAGTTTGTAATAAATAAACTTCTATCCCTTCCTTATGCTTTTGTATTTTGTTTATAACATTTTTTTATATAAATGTTATAGCTTACTCCTATTATTTTTGACCCCGGTCTTCCTTATTAACATCCCGTTCCAATTATCAAATATGAAAATAAATTAATTTCAAATTTTACTGATTTTTCAGCTACCCTGAAATTAAACTTTTTGTAAAATTTTGTATCCGTCCAAATTATGTAACGCGTTAATATTATAATTAATTTTATTGTAAATAAAAGTATGTAAATAAATGTAATAATGTATTAAGTACGTATGTAATATAAAGTTTATGTAAACTATGTCCAGATAAATGCTATCATACTTACTTTTGTAACTTGCCTAACGATTATTAATAAATTATATATTTATTGAAATACATATATCCATAATTAAATATTCAATGTAAATAGCATTTATCTTATCGTAGTAAACCAAATTGTAAATTGTTGCGTAATTGATGTAAATTATACGAAATCGACGATTACATATAATAACAAAAATCATTTATTGACCTAATAAATTTGATAAATATTTAATTTCGAAACTTTCTTTTTAAATTTAGATTTTATTTTAAATAACAAAAAGTCATTAATAATTTTAAGTAATTTCTAATTAAAAAATTAATATTTAGAATAATTAATAAATATCAATTTATTAATAATGTCAATTAAATAAATGTCAATTTTGCTTCGCATTTATTAGTATATATAAATTTATTAAATAAATCATAAAGATTGGAACTTTGACTGAAGCAATGGTTAAATATTAACTTCTTGTTTAGTTTTTGACATTTACATGGTAACATTACAGAATTGCAAGTATATTTTAGTGATCAATTTATTATATGCAAAGCCTTATTGCTGTCTCTCGCATCAGATAGATGCTAGTGATTTGTTGACTGATGAAAAATCAAAATTATTTTCATCGTGGAGAGTTATTTCTCGTCGCTTTTCGTGAAATCCATTCACGAAGTTTAGTTTGGTGTCTCTTCGGGGATTGTTGTACAGAATCAGAATAAATCTCGAATTTTCTGCAGTTACTGGAAGTAATAATTTTGTCAATGAGTGAATGACAATTGCCATTTTAAAGTCAACTAGCGAAATTAATTTAGTGGTATATTTTAGCATATAATTTTCGTTGCTTTCTTTGTTTTATTAAATGTTTTTTCACTAGTAATAATAATGTTAATAATATTACTTATATCTTAATTTAACAATAGGAATTTAGTATTATATGATTAATATTAATATATAATGATTATTTGTTTAAATTTAAATTATTAAGTAAATAAATTTAAGTTTTATACACAAAATTTGCTTATTTTTTGATAATTGCTGTAACAAAAATATGGTTACGAATGTATATATTTCATTTTCTAACTGTTATTTTTACAGTCATTTTTAGGTATTGGACATCCCGCCATTGCAGAATATTATTAATTATTAATTTATATGTATATATATATGTATATGTATATTTATATATGTATATTTTTCTATGATATATTTATATATGTATATTTTTCTATGATAAAATACATGCAGATATTATGAGATTATATTTAACAAATTTTGAAAATAATACTTCATATTTTTTTAATAATGTTATTGTGATTACATGAATTTAATTAAAAATGTATGAGTACAAAAAATTCGAGATAAGTCGAATGGGTACCTTCATATTAACAGGATATTAATAATTAAAATTTTTGAAAAATACGGAAAAATAAAAATTGTTAAATTTTATATAATAAATTTTTCTCTCTTAGTATAAAAGTATAATTCTTTAAGTCCTGTTATTATCGGGTTTGGCTTATCTCGAACAGTTGGTACCCGAGAAAAGTTTGTATCCATACATATAAAAAATTACAGTAACGCATGTATTTTATTATTATTAAATATATTCCTTCGTAACCACTATTCCATAAAGAAATTATTCTATCCGTTTATTTTTAATAAGAGATGATTTTTAGTGATGTGGCATATTTTCTCACGAATTTTAATATTATATTAAAAATGTTATAAAAATGATAATGGTAATTGACATGCTACCCAAATTATTACTATATAGTAATTAGTCTAAAAGATTCGGGATGCACACCCTCCTGTAACAAGATTACTGGTATTTGACGGATGCTTAACTTTTCTTTGCAAATGGATCTTGTGAATTTGACATGGATTAGGAATACATTGAGTTCGCTCTCCACTATGAAGATTGTTTTTTGTTATTTTATATTATTGGATACTAACCCGCGTACCCCCATAAGGCAAAGGAGATTTTGATATGATCAAATTATTATTGGGATAGTTATTTTGAACGCAAAGAAAATGCTATCGTAAATATATTAACGACTTTTTATCGCCATATTAATGTTTAAGTTTTATAATCTCATAATAATAAATACGATATAATTATTTTCATTCCGCGTTTATTAATATTTTATTAAATATTAGTCTAGAAAAATTTGTGTTATTATATGTATTTTCGACATTTTCGTATAATCCCACATTACTAAAATTTGTTAAATGCTCCTAATAATATCATTTTTTTTATTATATTTTGAACAGATTTATAATTGTATATTGTATTATAAATAATTATTATTATTGTATTATTGAAATGTATAACAGATTACAATAAAGATAATATTAAAAAAGTTAATGCAATGTGATTAATAAAATACAATAAATTATAATAAAGAGATTAACTTTTAAATTTAATAAAATTTAAATAAATATTATAAAGAACATATAAGAGACAAATAATTATTTATAAGTATAGATGTCACATTAATAGAATAAATTTAATTAAAATTTTAGACATTATATGTTTCGGCTTTTTATTAAGCCATTTTCAGATAATCCTTAACATTTTGCAATTTCTTGAGTATATTCATTTTTTCATCAATAGTTGAAATGGATATATTCAAGAAATTGCAAAATGTTAAGGATTATCTGAAGATGGCTTAATAAAAAGCTGAAACATATAATGTCTAAAGTTTTAATTAAATTTATTCTATTAATGTGACATCTACACTTATAAACAATTATTTGTCTCTTATATGTTCTTTATAATATTTATTTGCAAAAACGGACTACTAAATTTATTGGTAGCTTGTTTTTTTACGGACAAGTATACTTACAAAGAAAAGAAAATCGCCGATAAAATAGGTGATGAAGAGCCTTTAGCTCGTTTTTGCAAATTAAATTTTAAATTAACAATATTTGATTGGAAAAGTTTGAAGTGTATTCAAAGTGTCTATAATTGCTAATAATTATATAAAAATAATTATATTTGATATATACTAGATTTAGACAGATTTTCAACTCGTTTTTACCAAACATAATACTAGTAATTATGTTTGGTAAAAGCGAGTTGAAAATCTGTCTAAAGAAACATACTTCGTAATTTCATTTTTACGCAGACACGTATTATAAGACAAAATTCGCTAAATTAACTTATTTTAATATTTAACTTCGAGTTTCTTAAAATTCAATAATTTTTATTTCCATAGTAGGATATGCGAAATTAAAATTTTCGTTCAAATACCCATTAATTGGATTATTAAAAAATTTATTAAATAAAAATATAAAGATTTTTTCATTGCAGAACCAGAATTCGGATTTTCTCGAATTATATGCGAATTTTGCGTTATGGTATCCATTCATTTTGTATACGAGATATCTTATATATATATAAGCAAAATGTGTAATCATAATTGTTGTAAAAATATATAAGCAATTATATAATGAAATATATATAATATCCGTAAAAAAAGGCCACTATAATTTATAGTAGTCCGTCTTTTTTGTAAAGGTAAGGGTCATTTTATGATTCACCAATTATTAATCAGCGAACCGTAAAGTGACCCTAAGTATATTTATAAAGAAAAGAGAACCGCCGGTGAAATTATTCGGTGGGTGATGGGCCTCTATATCCGTGTAAAGTCCCAAGCAAAACAAGTCATTATGATATCAAAATGATGCCAAAATGATCATTAAAAGTAATTTTTCAATTATTTCCAATTTATTTTAATGTCGTTTTGACGTTATCTTAATATTCTATTTGGACATTGTTGTTGCTTGCACATTTCGAAACAATTAGATTTTTTCATTTGCACACATTTAATTAAAAAGTTATTAAAATTTCAAGAAGGATCAAAAGCGGCAAATAGGTTCAAATGGGTTCAAAAAGGTTTTTCTGCTTAGCTGGTCTCCCTATTTAACCAAATCTTAATGAATAAATAAATTATACATAATAATGCGCTATTTATGCGCTTTCAAAATCTGCAAAAAAAATTTTTGCATTCATTCCGTTTAGCTAAAAAAATTTTTTTGTGGAAGAGCTGAGTAGGCTATCAGCACCGATGAGATATTATTAAAGACTCTCTCGGCTCTGGGCAATTTCGTTCTGGGCATTTTCGTTTACTATCAATGGGGTCCGGGGGGCCCGGGAATAATTGAAGAACAATGTTACTGATAATTAATAAAAATATATGATTATTAACATAAATATTTCGATGGTACGTTATTAAATTCGTGATTTTTAAATTATATTAAGCTTTTTATTAAAAGCTGTGTAAATAAATGTGCATACTTTTAATGATATAATATCTTATATATTGCGTAAAGTTACAATTTTTCCTCTGCAGTTATCATCTCTATTGATAATCAAACTTAGATGATCATTAAAATCACAGTTTTAAATAAAAATTGAGTATTAATAGTTTTAAATATATATGTACATGTATACAAAACTAATAAATTATAAAATTAGTACGGTATTACTAGTTTATTACTTTTAATCACTTAAATTTTAATAGGTACGCGAATTTTCATAAGCGAGGGTCTTTAATAGTATCTCGTCAGTGTTATCATTCAATTTTGATTATTCATCCTTGTCTAACTCACGTAATAGCATGGAAAAGAACCACAAAATGTGGATATTACCCTACGAGGTTTGGTATACGAAAAAGGTCGGAATATCCACTCTCAAGTTTCTCTCTGTTAATATCTCGTTGGTGTCAGTAGCATCAACGTGACAAATTTACCTATGCAGTTTTCTCTCTTAACCTCTCGCCATAATCTGAGACCAGCACAATACCAAGCACTACCCAAAATACCCAGATTGCTCTGCGGTTGTGCTGCGTCGGGGGTTTGTCTCCGAGACTACCTGGTTCTACCGCCATCATCGCGAGAAGAAGCGACAGTGAGAGAGATTGTCAGGTTCTTTTACGTCGGTGTTTTTCTTACATAGCAGTTACGTTTCATCACAAGTCGCACAAATGAAGATGGTAGATAAGATTGAAATGAGTCTAGACGATATTATCAAACAGACCAAAGGGTCTAGGGCGCGCGGCGGCGGCGGAGCAAGCGGTAGACGCGGCAGAGGCGCTGGGAGTTCACCTCGTCGAGGAGCACGTAGGGTACAGAGAGCCAGCGGTGGCGTCATGCGAGGACGTAATCGCGGTGGAATTGCACGCAGCTCTTTACCGTATACGAGGGTAAGTTACGAGGGTTAAATTTTACAACTATTGAATTCTTTAATAGGGCACTATACTTGTTCATTTATACATATCTCTGTGCACACGCGCGCGCGCGCGCGTGTGTGTATGTATGTATTTGAGACTGAACGTTGGAGCATAGAGTATAACTCTGAAGTACTTACTTATATACGATCATTTATTTAAAAAAAAAAAAAAAACGATGTAAACGGCTATCAGGTGGAAATATTTTATTTGTCTTTATTTCGTTTTTTGTTTATTGTTTATATATTTATTATATTTCCTACTCGTTTATGTTTTTATTTTCAATAAATTAATAAATTAAATATTGAGTTGATAAAATTTTTTTTATGTTATGATTTTCGATAAGAAAATATATAATGGTATAGTTAAATGAGATTTCATCTGTGAGATGTATGTAGTCTGCGTTAATTACTTATATAATATAATGAATAAAAGCTTTTTTCAGTAGGTCTAGTTCGATAGAACAATAAAATATTATATTGTTAATTGAGGAAATGACAAAAAACCAAAAAAAGAAATAGTAAAAAAAAAGGTTTTATTATTTGATAAAGAATGTAATACTTTTCCAACACATTAATTTATATTTTGTTATACAGGGAGATGTAAACAGTGCTTGGAAACATGATATGTTTGATGGTGTAAAAAAAGTTGGTCGTGGTGCAATAGGCAGTGCAGGAACGACCAAACTTTTGGTATCAAATCTTGATTTTGGTGTATCAGATTCAGACATACAGGTATTAGAATATTGTAAAATAATTTTTTAACAATATTGAACATGTTGAGCATCACATAATTTGATATTAAATTATACTCCATGAATTCATTTTCCTTTTTGAATTTTTAATTATCTGTATAAGGATCTCTTATAATAACATTTGTAAGTAGTAATATATCCAATAATAAAAATATTTAGTCCTGATTAAGTTAGTTTTAATTATAAAATTAAACAATTGGCAATATAGATAAAACAAATTTAATTTATATTGATAAACTGTTATAATGGTACTAAATATAAAAATACATAACCTACTAGATATATCAACATACGAATTCTCAAAAATGGAGATAAATATTTTTGATTATATAACCCTCAATATGTTAAATTTTTTATAGATTTAGTTTTAAAAAAAAACACTTATAAAGAAAAGTTCTATAGAAAAGTAATTATAATGATATCTTTTAGGAATTATTCAGTGAATTTGGACCTTTAAAATCAGCAGCAGTACATTATGATAGATCAGGTCGATCTCTAGGCTCTGCTGATGTCATATTTGAAAGACGGGCAGATGCTATTAAAGCAATGAAACAGTATCATGGAGTTCCATTAGATGGTATGTATTTATATTTAATTGTATTTATTTATATTGTATATATTTTTTCAATTATAGAATTTTGCTTATATTTAGGTAGTATTATTTGTTAATCTATTGTTCAGAAAGCTTGTGCTAAAAAATTTGTGGATTATGATTTGCATATACAGATATTTTGCATCTATCATTCCAATATATAATTATGTTGATAGGACGTGAAATGAATATACAAGTAGCTACTTCTGAATTACCAATCACTTCTGTTCGTGGCCCGAGACTTAGCGGTGTTAATTATACACAAAGACCTCAAGCACGTTTTAGGGGAAATCGCGGCACAGGATCTATTAGAGGTAACTCATTAATGCAATTTAATATATATTATTCTAAATTAATTTATGCAAATTAAAAAATAATAAAATTGATAGTATCGAATACACAGTTATATATTTTTTCTACGAGTTGTAATTGTGTTATATAAAAGTATTTAACAATTTTTTATTAGTTCCTATAAAATATAATTTTATGGAATTTAAGGTCGTGGAAGTGGAGGTCGACGTGGAGGGAGAGGAGGCACTCGACAAACGACAAAGACACCTACAGCCGAAGAATTAGATGCAGAATTGGAAGCTTATGTGAAGGAAGTCAAGTAACAACGTTATAAAATTGCTACATTCAAATTTTGTTCAATGTGACTAACACAATACACATTGTTGCTATTTCTTTCATGAAATATACAGTTATAAATCTAATCCTATACGAATTTAGTAAAGTTATACAAAAATCAACTTAGTTTTTATTTTTGACGATTCTTTCAAAAATTGGCACAGCAAATTTTACAAAATCTTTGCGAACATTGTAGAAGTTCATAGATTTTTTTCATAATATAGTGATGCAAGAAAATTAAGAAAGAACATACTTACATGAATTGTAAAGACTGTATGAATTTGTATGTACTACCGTGCGTGTGTGCTCACCAGATGAAAAATACAATGAGATACATCTCGAAAAGTTGTTGTTTATCAAAGTACGGAATGTGCTTCTAGCCCTCACAATCTGATTATTCCAAATGCTATGTCAAATATCAGAAATTGATTACAAAATCCATCTTTAGGATACTTTACTTAGGAATCTTAGAATGCATAAACGTCAACACTTTTATGTAATTATGTGTCCGGAATCTCTTTAGCTTAAACATAAGCATTATATCTATATATGTGTAGTATATAATTAATAGTGGATTAAGGCTGTGACATACTGTTAACTAGTCGAATATTGACGATATTTAGTGCACAGTGATGGATATGTAAGACCATGTATACATTTTTGATCAAGCAGCGTACAAATAGCAGTCAAACTAAGTGGCGCAAGACTGAAGAAAAACTATCACCAGATTCTCTTTTAATAAAATATTTTTAAAAGAAAACTTTTATTATCCATCGAAAAAGAAAAATTCCTAATAATTTTAGTCCTTTTACCCCATATTTGATCCTGTATCTTTTTTCTTTATAAAATATCTAAAAATATATTGTGAAATGTGTTAAAAAAATACAGATATATTAAAATGTACAAGGTGGTAGAAGGAAAGGAGGTATATGTACAGAGAAAGAGATATGCAATCATTAGGGATATATATTTATCAAAATTAAATAAAAAAATACTATACACATAGGAGACATTTTCTTTATTTTACTTAAGTAATCACAAGTATATTATTCTGTACATATGTAAAAATATTTGCTAATAGATAGTATAGAACAGATTTCTAATTCAGGCTATGATTGTACAGATTACTACAGAATACTAATCTTCTAGGGAAGGTGGGAGATCAATTTTTGTTTCTATTATCTTTTTCTTATTTTTAATGTATCTAGACATATTAAATTCTCTACATACTTAATAATAAGATCAGTCAAGTTTAGATAATAAAATTTTACTATGCAATAATAATTGTATACAATACGAGGCAACATTATCATACTAGTATTTTAAATTACAAAAGACAGAAGAAATAATATTAATTTTTTTTTATAGTCTCTTCAGTGTCCTCTTCTTATCTTTTAACATTTTTTTCTTTTCCGCTGTTAATTTCTTATCACTTGCATGTTTTTTTGGAAGAGGTCCTCCAGTGTCCGAAGAGGCACAACTTTCCAGGCCTGCCTTGCTTCCCTTTCCACCTCCCTGAAGAAATAAAAGTTTCATAAAAATAAAAATTATTATAATGATGAAATTGTGAAAAACAAACTCATTTGTCGAAATAAGACATTACTTGTGCATGTATCTCAGTCATCATTTTTGCTCGCTCTGAATATTCGTCATGACTTTCTAAAAGCAATTTGCCAGCTTCCTCATTCAAAGCAGATTCTGGATTTGGCACTATTAGTAGACATTTTACAGTCTAAAAAATATAAAAAAAGAAACATAAGAATACATAAGCAAGCATTTACAACACATTGTGCTTTAGTGATCACTTACTAATAATATATGTTGTATCCCAAGATCTGGTTTCCAATCCTTTTTTAAAGTGTTGACACATATTTCGCCATTTTTTGCTACATTAGGGTGAAAAATTTTTGTAAGAAAGTAAGCCTTTGGCGGTCCCTGTGGAAAGTCTTTTCCAAGAACTAATTTCACTCTAAAGAAACCATTGGCATATGGAGTCCCCGCTATTAGAAAGAAATATATAGATATTAATATGCTATATTATTATTTTTAAACCTTGACTATTATCATTGAATTTTTTGTCATACTAATTCTGTAATCGAATTTAACGAACATAGATCATTGAAAAATTCTTATTTATTCAAGCAGTTATTTTTATTATATTTTTATTATATTTTGTTGGAGTGTTGTTAAATGATATGTTTTATGAACATAATAGAATAAAAAGCGGTACATTTTCACTTGTTTCTTATCAATGTAGATTAACTTTAATCTCAACTTCAACTTACTTTTCATCTTTTTCTAATCTTTAGAACTAGAAAAATATAAAGAGCAAGTTAAACCGAGATTAAAGTAAATTGATATTGGTGAAAATAAGCATTAAACCTTTACCATATTATTGTTTTGCATAAAAGTGATATACATTTTAGGAAATATTTCTAATTTCTCTATTTCTATTTTATTCTAATCATCACATTGTACTTGTAAAACGCGATGACGCTATTGATGTTAACAATCAAGGTTAAAAACTCATACGAGAAAAATTGTACGCTCTCGACATAGACGAGTGACATACACGGATATCAGCCGAGATAAAAGGTGTTATAGGGTTAGGACGACGATCAGATTAGGTTAGGTAATGTATAGTCAATAAAAGTATGCTTTGCTTGAAAATAATCAGTTTTGTCAACGAGGCCAAAAGAGCAAGGAAGCGAGGAGGTTAAATGAGACAACCAATGTTACCTGGGCCTTCGATGACGGCTTGTATGTCGGTGACATCGGCCTCGTTCAAAATGACACGAATACCTTCAGGTGTTTGCGCGGCCAGCTTTGTCATCTCCTTGGTTACCCGGCGGATGATTTGTGGCGACAGATTTTCCACATTCTGCAAAAATGCACGTATTAATCTCACACATGTTTTAGCGAGGACGATTGAAATTCGCAGAATGTAAACAAGAAAGCGATTCTCGCTATATACGGTCGCGGTGGCGGTTAGTGGCCGCGACGACGGAGCATCGCGACGAACGAATGTCGAATTGTACGTTTCCGCGATAGCTGACCAGCGGAAGATTATTATTACTCACGGAGCTCACGGCGGCAGCAGCCATAATCGCCGTAAATTCGGAGCGTGATTTCGCTCAGGCCTCGCGCGCAGGCTACGCGATTCTCTCAGCTTCCCGGCGCACGGCGTAGGAAAACACTTAACGTCACAACATCAGCACGGCATTGCCTGCAATAACCAACATTTTGAACTGACAGCCAATCGCGTGCCAGGGTACTCTCGATACCAGAAGTCGATCCTTCTTCCCCCTCGCCGATCAACCGATCATTGCGCCGTCGTCGCCGCCGCCACCGTCACCGCCAACGCCACCGCCGTTGTACGACCTGTCCTCCGGCTTGATTTGTGCATGTTTTTTTTTAACTTGAAGCGCGAACGATTCAGCTGATTCTAGGCTATTTTTCGTCGTGACTGCGGACTGTGGCTCAGGATGACGATACGTAGTGGATAAATACGGAGTACGGAACCACCAGTGGAACGAGACCATCTTCTGTGTTGCTGTTGATTGACTTTTACGCGTGTCGTACATCTTCCCCTCCAGATCCCCGTCGCTATAAAGCGAATTAAAACGCCGCATTTATCACAAATCTCTGCGCGATGACGGACGACGGGACGGTCGAAAAGGTGAGTACGACTCGATTCTGTCGAATTGTGAATTGGTGACTTGAAACCATCTAAGAAACACGTTTTTGTGAAACGACACGCGCTTCTGTAGCCTGGTAAAAAATCAATGACAGAGCGAGACACGATCTCGTTAACTGATAATGCGATATTATCATAGGAAAAACATATGAAGCAATTGAAGCGAAAGATGGAATGCTGGCGGGAGATAATCCTGCCTTTAAATTCTATTCTCTTGTGGGAACGCAGCTGGCATCCTGGATTAATTGTCGGGATTGTAACAGTGATATTCTGGTAAATGAACCAATCTCATAAAAATGAAAATTGTTTTTAATTTGTATGTGTTTGTGTGTATGTAGATTTGTTTGCATTATGTACACTTTTTATGTATTTAGTAGCTTTGCTTCCTCTCTTTTCACTATTCAAGTATTTCAAGTTTATTTTGTTTCATGTATGTAAACTTTTGAAGCTTTTAAGCAATGAAAACAAACTTTATGTAAGATAAAAGGTTCGAATAATTGGACGTGTACCTATGTCTGGATACTTACACAAAATTTATTATTATTAATCTGAAATGCTTTTTTTAATTATAACATTAATTTAATTGTATTTAAAGGTTACAATTAAATTATGAAATTATATTTAAAAATTTGATAATAATAATATAATATATAAATTATATCACTAAATGTTTTTCTACTGCTAATTTTTTGTTCAATTTCAGATTCATTTCTTCTAAAAATTTTTGAACATCTACAAGAAGTTTCTAGTCATCAATAATTAAAAAAAAGCAGATGGCATATTATCTTGTGATTAATTTTTTAAATAATTTTAATGTTTGAATAGGTTTAAATAAGCTTTAAATATTTACAATTTTAATGTGATCTATATATAAATTATTAAGATGTATGTTATATATAAAAAACATCAATAGAATACATTCACGCTTGATATATTTATTTTAATAGAGTACATTCACGCTTAATATATTTGTTTTAAAAAAGATTACTTTTGATTTGGTCAAAAAGAAGTAAGATTTAAACATTTGATAGCTTTTTTGAATACTGTGGGATGTAAACTTATTGGAAGTGTATGTATAAAATTACTAATGTTTCTCTTATTGCAGTGCTATATGGACTCTAGAACCAGCTCTTCTGACGATGATATCTGTATGTCTATTAGTATTTGCTCTTGTTGATTATCTTGTGCCGATTTTGACTTCGGTATTATGCAACGCACAAAGTTGGACTGGACAGAAGGAGAAGAAATTAATTGAGATTTGTCAAAATCTTTCTACCACTATATTGCAATTGCAAAGAGCATGGATGTCTATTTCGAAAATTCGACACGATCGTCCCAATATTGTAAGTAAATTATAAGTATATATCAAAAATTAAAAGTTTATTATTTTTTTCATGAAAGATAAATCAGATAAATATCTTTTTATAAGAGATTATTTTACTGGATATCTGTTAGAATATTTATGGAATGTTTTATATGCAAAGGATTTTTGATATGAACATTTCATATTTTATTTCCACATTTTAAAAGTAAAAAATTATGTGTAACATTTTTTTTTATTTTTATTGCAGTATTACAGTGCAACGATCCTCTTTCTCATTCTTTTCGCCTGGATCGGTAACACTGTCAATAATTTGCTTCTGCTTTA